GCTCTGAGCCTCAGCTTCCCCCTTCAGGAGCAGCCTTCTGTAAGGGAAAAGTGACGACCACTCTCTGGGACAATTGTCCTTTCCAAATCATGGAAGTGATACTTTTTAGATTTATGAAACGCTCTCACGGACCAACGCCATCAGGACATGATCCCAGCACTCCTGTGAGGGGGGACTTGTCACTTGATGCCACCTCAGACCTGCGATTGCAGGCTCCGGATCTGCTCCCAGGGATCCAGTAGGTGCTGCATGAATTGCGGAGTGAGCAAGACAAAGCTGAGCCTTTGCGCGGAAGTGGAACCCGGGTCCTCCCGCCCCGCGAGTTGAGATTGGGGGCGCGCAAGTTGAAGCTGACCGCCTCTGTCTCCCGCAGCCGGCAGAGTTACAGACTTGGCCACTGAGTTCCACCGACAAGAGGTTAAGGCACTGACTGACCCTTCTAAACATCAGTTGCAGGCAGTGCTGCTCTGAATCTTGTAAAAATACCTATTTTGTGGTTTTGAGAATGGAACTCAGGGCCTCACGCATGCTGGAGAAGGGCTCTACTGCTGAACTGCACTTCGCCCCGCTGTTTCGAATTTTTAAAGCTTAGTTTTAAGTTATTTTGCCTTAACAAAAAATATTATTTTGCCTTTAGGGCTGGAGAGATAGCTCAACGGCCTAAGTGCCTGCCTTGAAGTACAAGGTCTTGAGTTCAATCTCCAGTACTGCAGTAAATAAATAAAAATTATTTTGCCTTTAAAATTGAGACATTACTCCCATACAGAACAGTGCAAAAATCCCAAGGCCAGGGCTTCGATGAATTTTCACAAACTGAACATAGCCATATAAAGAGTACACAGAGTGACATGGAGAACATTTGCAGCACCCAGAAGGCTTCAGGTCCACTCCCAATTAGGGATAAATTTACTCAGAATCATTTTTCCTTCCTTTCTTCTTTATCATTTCTTTTCGTTTTTCCTGATTCTTAGGATGGAATTTGAAGAACATCTACCCTTGAGCTACATCCCCAGGCCTCCTTGCCTCTCCCCTCCCCTCCCCTCCCCTCCCCTCCCC